CTCGTCTCCTCGCTCCTCCGTCCTCCATCCTATGACCCGGAAACCGATCGAGCTCAGCCATCTTGAAGGACATCTCAATTCTCTAATTGCACCGCGAGGATCGAGGAGTGAGGAGGCTTCCAGAGGAGCTATGAGCGAGGATACACAGGTGTACCCTTTGCGGAAGAGTTTTACCGACTAAACATGACGCACGTATCAATTCTCCTCCCCCTTCACATCTGTCACAATCATTTGAATTTATACTTTACTTTTGTAGTTTACATAAACCACACAACTCACATATTTCAACAAGTTATCTTGCTTTATTATTATTTATTATGAATTTCTTAAATAAACAAACTTTAACAACATAAAGGCAGATCCTTTGAGCACTGCTGATGACGTAGTGAAGTGACGCTCGAGTGATCAAGTATTCCAATGTTCTTGTCTAATATTGTGTTTTCTGTATTAATGACTTTATTTGTGTGTCTTGCTGTTTGTATTGTTAAGATTTAATAAAAAAAAAAAAATTTAAAAAAAAAAGCTTTCATTCAATTCCTCCGTCCTCGTTTCCTTTCCTTGTAGCCTTCCCTCGCGTCCTACAGGGGGTGGAGCTGAGACGCGAGGAAAGGAAGCGAGGAAAGGAAACGAGGATGCACAAATAAGAAATGAGAAGCACCCTCTATCTGCCAAAGAAGACAGTATCAGTGTTTACCCAAGGGGGTAATCCATCGACCGGAAGTTGAAGCCGGCCGGGTGCCGCCATCTTGTAGCAGAACTTCACTTGCGTTAGCATTTCCATTGACTACCATTCATTTTGGCGTCACTTTGACAGCGAATAACTTTACATCTGAGGCGTTTAAAGACTCCATTTGTCCATTATTTATTTCTAAAGAAACACGACAATGTATAAAGGGCTCAATTACCTTCTATGTTACATTATGGCCCCGTAGAAACAGTTTTAGTAAAAATAGGCTAACGATTGCGTCATAACCACTCGACTCTCTGTCGCGCTGTACAGAAATTACCGTACAGACAGGAGGAGAAGCTCGCAGGCAATCGGGGGGACGTCCCGTCAAGAGAGAGGCCCATAGATAATGAGTCCATAAAAGCAACGGAATACTTACTCCTGCTCACTCACGATAAAGGACTCTTTGCTCAAGTTCCCCGTCTCTGCAAGATTGACGTTGGCATTTTCACGCACAGCTACTAGAAGATTAACGTCTGTCAGACAGGTTGCTCACGTCATCAAGCTTAGTTTTAGTCGGTTTGAGTCTGCGCGTCAGGAACGGAAGTGCTCAAAAATCGCTAAAAATGGGCTTCAACTGTCTCAACTGAGTTCCAATGAGATGGCTCTGTCCATTTCTTATACTGTCTATGTGTTTACCCTTATCAAGGGGGTAATCCATAGACCGGAAGTTGAAGCCGGCCGGGTGCCGCCATCTTGTAGCAGAACTTCACTTGCGTTAACATTTCCATTGACTCCCATTCATTTTGCCGTCACTTTGACAGCGAATAACTTTACATCTGAGGCGTTTAAAGACTCCATTTGTCCATTATTTATTTCTAAACAAACACGACAATGTATACAGAGCTCCATTACCTTCTGTGTTACATTATGGCCCCGTAGAAACAGATATTGTAACAATAGGCTAACGATTGCGTCATAACCACTCGACTCTCTGTCGCGCTGTACAGAAATTACCGTACAGACAGGAGGAGAAGCTCGCAGGCAATCGGGGGGACGTCCCGTCAAGGGAGAAGCCCATAGATAATGAGTCCATAAAAGCAACGGAATTCTTACTCCTGCTCACTCACGCCAAATAACTCTTTGCTCAAGTTCCCCGTCTCTGCAAGATTAACGTTGGCAGTTTTCACGCACAGCTACTAGAAGATTAACGTCTGTCAGACAGGTTGCTCACGTCATCAAGCTTAGTTTGAGTCGGTCTGAGTCTGCGCGTCAGGAACGGAAGTTCTCAAAAATCGCTAAAAGTGGGCTTCAACTGTCTCAACTGAGTTCCAATGAGATCGCTCTGTCCATTTCTTTTACTGTCTATGGTGTGAACGGGGCTGGCTTTATACTGTCTATGGTGTTTACACAAGCGCAGAACGCGCATGCTAGCTGACAGTCGGCTGTTCTCTCGGTGTTCAAATGACGCTCCCCCGACGCAGCCGACACAGTCGGCTTTCATTAGCACTAGCACTGCTAGTTCTTTGGTGTATCCCTACAGACACGACCGAAAATTCGCGTCCTCCGAAGGTCGCATTTGTCACCCGCGGCCGCATACGTAATTGAGGCCGTTTAATTTCAGTAAACTGACCACTACATACCAAAGTCATTAAGAAATTACAACAATTTACGCTTCACAGGAAATAACGGTCAATTGTTACTGTTCTGAAATAAGACATTTATGACGAATGCTGCCGACAAATGTGCCCTCCGGACCGGAGGACGCTGCCTTCAAAAGGAGACGTCATCAGGATGAATGAATGATATGTCCTGTCTTTTAACGCCAGAACTGTACTCGAGGTCTCGAACACTTCAACATGGTATCCGCTCAGATTTCCTCTGCAGAATGAATGAGTAGGCTACTTACTGTGTTTCAGTTCAATGGTATTGTGTTTCTAAAGAGAGTTTCCGCGAAACCTTATCCAGTCTCCTTTGTGTCCATGGCCCACAACAAAATGAGGTTATCGCAAAGTCAGATTACTGCTGTCACTTGATGCTTCGTGTTCCTCGACATCTCTCTCATTATTTTACCAAGAACTTCGCAGGTGGTCTATACAAAAACACTTCTATTTTTATCTTTGAATTTACCCCTTACCTCTGTAACTTCCATTATTTTCTTCAATGAATCCAGTGAGCTCAACATTGATGTTTCTATTTCCTGTGCAATTTTTTTAAACGGAGGTGCATCTTCCTCTGCAAGCCGCATGCTTCCGCCTCACATTTTACAGCTCACAAGAGAAACATGGTAAAGGAGAGCAAGAGTGACAGAGGTTATTACTACTGCCTTAGTAAAAAAAAAAAAAAAAAAAACACACATCAGTATTCAGAGCCCATTATTTACATTTGTAACAATAGCCCAAATCTCCAATAATCTGAAGACAAAGTTTGGAAATGCCACTCAATCTTTGTCGAAATATCTACTATTGCCTCTCAAATATCTACTATTGCCTCTCAACAGAAGAAAAGAAGATGCTCATCCAACTCAGTCCTGCTGGCCATCTGCCATGATGCAGGCTAAAAGCTTGTCGGCATTTCCAGAGCTTTGGGGAAAATCTATTATAATTCCAACTCCTAAAATTTCTTGTCTTTAGATATCACTGGATTATAGTCATTGTTTTCCTAAAGACATGAAATCAATGGAACTGCGTATTATAGAAGAGCAGCGGAGTGCATGTGGAGCCATCTTTAGATCACTATCAGTTTCAAGAGTAATCAGGGTACTATAATGCTATATTTCTACACTAATGCACCTTGTTTTGAAGCATCTGGAAAGTTCGGTTGCCTAGGCTGTTTTTATAGATTTTAGTTCTGCGTTTAACATGATTCAACCACATACATTGCTGGAGAAAGTAGTTAATTTAAAGATTAATCCTTTTTTAACCAACAGGACACAAGTGAAATTTAATTCAGTGTTGTCTGCTGTTGTAGTAAGCAGCACAGGGGGGTCAAGTAGGGTTGCCACCTTTGATTTGTGAAAAACCGGGACACTGAGGGGGAGGGGTCAACCAGGGGCGTTTCCAGCTTTGAAGGACATCAAAAAAGAGAACAATCCCGGGAAAACCGGGACGGGTGGCAACCCTAGGTCAAGGAGGTCTAAGTTCATCATTTTGGATAATTTTATACACACATGACTGCACTAGTCATCAACCAAATCAATTCGTAATGAAATTTTCAGATGATACTGTAATTGTGAATCTGTTTTTGTGGGTTGATGTTGCAGCAGTTTTCTCAACCAAGACAAATTTCTACAATAGGGGAAATTATATATATATATATATATATATATATATATATATATATATATATATATAAAATAGGCCTACATTTAAAGTGAAACATGCCATTTTAATGCGGTTATTCTGAGTCTCAGTGGGGTGATTTAAGTGGATTGTGAAAAAAGTATTGTTAGCTGAACGTAGCATCAACTATGATGTGGCAGGTAATTCTGCCAAGGCAATTACGTTACATAAAACAAAGTTCAACAATTATTTGATTCTTACAGGAGGGGCTTTACTCCCTCTAGGGCAGGGATGGGCAACTTCGGTCCTGGAGGGCCACTGTCCTACAGAGTTTAGCTTCAACCCTTCAGAGTTTTAGCCTTACAGTCAATGGGGTACAATCATGGAATAATTTGGAGATAGTGATAAAACGAAGTTCAAACATCAATCTTTTTAAATACAAATATAAACAAAAGATCTTTGAAAAGTATAGAGAAGAAGAAATGTTTTGTCATTAGGGGTACTTCTACCATGACCAGATACTTGTTGTCTCTTTGTTGTTGTTTTGCACTTTGTTTCCTTGAACCAATGTGAAGTGAGACATTTTCTTGTATAAAATTTGGGGGCGCTTATAAGCTCTTTTGCTTCGGCTCTCTCCTTTTGAGCAGAATGGTTACTGCTCAAATAAATAAATAAATAAATAAATAAAACCCTAATCAAACACACCTGAACAAGCTAATCAAGGTCTTCAGGAGTACTAGAAAGTTACAGACAGGTGATTTTTTCAGGGTTGGAGCTAAACTCTGTATAGGACAGTGGCCCTCCAGGACCGAAGTTGCCCATCCCTGCTCTAGGGGAAATATATTGCTAAAATGGGCCTTAGAAATGCTTCCAGTTTCATTTCCACACAGTAGGAGCTCCAGCAGTGCCTCTCTGCTCATGCCTGAATGTAACAATAGGTCATATATTATTAACTATGTCATGTCTGACTACTTTAAGGGGTGAAGTGATTCACACATCCACATGTTGTAGTTCATACTCTGAAAAATGGGAAAAGAAAAACTGAACCGCAATTATTTTTTAAAAAATATTTTAATGCACCATTAATAAAGGGTCCAACGCATTAATACAAGAGAAATATTGCAAATAATATTAAAACTTTAAATCAAATTAAAAAAACAAAAACTGAATGATAGGTATGTACAATTATTTTCTCGCAATGGGAAGTAGGAAAAGGATGAACATATTTACAGACTAGAACCAGTGTGTTTCTACGAGAAACAAACACCTCTACAATATTTACATGTAATTCTTTTTAACTTTTTTGTCCTTTTTTTTATGGTTACACTTCAGTGGATCAGTTTTTACTGAAAGACTGCAATAAATCTACATAGTTTACAGGTCTTCCTCTCAAAGGAACAGAGTGCTGGCAAGGCCCTCAGACAAGGGGGGGTGTGGGGTAAGGGGAAGCAAATAAGTAATGTCAACATGTCAATTTATGGCAGAGCAGAGAGAGAGAGAGACAGATGACCAGTAATACGAAAGGAAAGAACAGTAGGAACAGACGTTTTAGCGACTCTCTGCACATCTTTCAGGGGACTTGGGACATCAATTTTGTGTTCAAATATGCACACGCAAACTCTGATCTTTCAACTCTTAGAAAATGCACTCTGTGTGATTATATATACATATTTGTGCAAGCATGTTCTCCTTAGCAGAGAGGAGTTACTAGCCCCAAAGTAGAGTGCTTTATCTCAAAACATATACCCCATTCATTTTTCAGTGGTCCACTAAAATATCAATGGCAAAAGAAAATCCAATGAATAATTCCATCCTTCTGCTAAAATATCAATGTGCGTTTATTTCAGCACACCAAAAAGACGACCACATCTGTCCTGTCCTTATATTGCTAAAAACTATTGATGAAAGGGTTATGACTTCATGTAAGGGTGTTTTAAAATGATGGGAGGTAGATATTAACCTCTATAATAACGGTGTTGTTACAGTGTACTGGCATTGTAACAACTCATTTATGAAAATAAAATGGCAATGTACAATGTAACTTACAATACTATATAATTTATAAAGTTATAGAATACCAGCATGTCATGCTGGAAAAGGGGACATTTTTAATTAAGATAGGTTCAGCTCAGAGGAAGTTTCGAAAAGAAACGTGCGTCAAAACAGCTTCATATTAAAATAAAAATAGGCAGAGGTGATTCTACGGAAATAATCTAAAAGAAGGTACAGTGGTAGATCTGACCTAAATGAATGACATGAAAGGACAGGCATCAGAACATGGATGATAATAAATAAACTAAAATTAATACTCTCTCTCACAACAGGGGTGCAGCATTACACAAGTCTTAAATCCATGTCTTTAGGTAGGTCTTTAAAAGTTGCCCTTGAAAAAAAGACCCAGCACTTTAAGGGTGCCACACTGTCATGTGCTGTGCAGAAGTGAGTGGAATATGTGTGTGTGTGTGTGTGTGTGTGTGCAGTTGATTAATAGCGGTATTTCAAAGCATAGACCTTGGCAAAAACAACACCACCAGACACAGCTGCAACAGGAGGAACGAAATTAGATAAGGAGCTTGGGACAGGAGAGAAAAAAATTCACAGATGGAACTCAGGGTGTTGCGGCAGTGCTGAGATCCCAATGACCCTGGACTAAACATCTCGACACTGTGTCTCTGTATAGAAGCTTTTCAAAGAGTCTGACCAAACGTTCTCCCTACACACACTACCTACGTTTTTGTGCGCTCTGAGAAAAACAGCTTGTGGGCCAGGAAAGCTGATTGGCAAGTCTTGTATTGGGGAAGGACTAGCACACTTTTAGTTGAGGGTTCCTCTGCAGTTCTCCGTGCCACACAAACATGGGATTTTGTTCTCTTCAATGGGAAACTTGTAATCATACGTGATCTCCTCGTTCACACCAATAGGCTGCTTGGAGTATATGACGATCTTCTTCTGGGACTCGATGGTAATCACTTTGGCATAGCAGTTGGGCTGTGAGAGAGAAGTACATGAAATCATGGATAAATATGGGTTTCAGTGGTCGACCGATATATCGGCCGATATTTGGCCTTTTTAAAGTTTTTAATACGTTTTTCTGATTGGGCGATGTGTTGAAAGCAGGACTTTTATTTTGACGGTGCTCCGGACTTTTTTTTTTGACGGGCGGCGCTGGAGAACGGCAGCGCCTGATCACACAGCGCTCACTCACATTCTCCGTCTTCAGTAGTTTACGATCTCTGTCAGTCATATCTAATACTTTGTTAGACAGAACTGGTAAACAAAAAAGTAAACGTTATGTGAAAAAGTAAAGCGTTTGCTTTTATATTATTTGTAACAGAAAAAGCAAACAATCAGGCTAAAGTACTTTCTCATTTACCGTCAACATTTAGCAAATGCACATCTACATTTAAACAAATCTCTGAATATCTAATAAACATTTAATTTCACAAACCTTGCAGATTTAATAGAATCCAGCTGTAATATCTTGTGAAGTGTGCATTTGTAGCCTGCATAAACGTGTTCCTGCGAGTGACGGTCGGTCCGTGCGAAGTGAGTGAATGCGAACAGAAGATCAGCTTCACAGGAGACGCGATCGAACAACTTTAAATCCTTCATTTTAAAATATGCTGTGCTATATCCAGTTGCCCACTGTGTCATATTCATATCGGTTTTTACAGTGCTTTATGTAAAATTAGCGTTACCTTGTCTTTATTTAAAATGATTACCAGTGTGCACAAAATTACCAGATTACTGAGTGCCCTGTTACAGTGTTTACTTCTTTTTATTCATATATTTTTAAACATTTACTTTATTTGTGAAAAATACTAGGATTGCAGAATCAAGAAGTTGCCATCTAAAGTATAAGCATGTTTATTTTAAAGATTTGTCTAATTTATTTATAATTTATTAAATATTGATTAAAATAAATACAACCTAAAGTGTGTGTATATATATATATATATATATATATATATATATATATATATATAAATATTGGCTTTATATCGGCCACCCTTGCACTCTAAGATAGTGGCATCGGCCATCAAAAAACAATATCGGTCAACCACTAATTGGTTTCTTGAATTACGTTTCTTCCCATAGGAGATCTTGGCATTTTTAAATGTTCTGTTTCTGAGAGTTTGTTCCACTGCATAGCTCTATGGGGTATGTGTTTAACAAAATCTATGAGCTCATTTTGGGTTGCTGGAGGGGATGATCACCATAGTGCAAACACAAATTCCATTGACAGATGGAGCAAAAAAAAAAAAAAAACATGCATTTTTCTTGGCTTTTACAGACCATGTAAAGACCAGATGCAACTTTAAGCAAGTCTGATCAAGCAATAAATAAGCATAGGATAAGATAGGGGACAAAAATCTGCTAATCTGGAAGACCACCTGTAAACATTTATAACGGTGTGAAAGACACTTGGGACAGTCAACAGAATTATTAGTCAACAGAATTATTACTGGCACAAAAGTTTATCATTTGCATGTGTTTTTAAAAGGTACACACTTAGTAACTTTTTTTTTGTTCAAAATTAACAATTTAAAAGAGTCAATCCTTCATTCAAAACGTGTTTTTGTCTTACCCTCATTCGCTATGGTAAGCCTATTATAAGAGTTTTAGACTATTTTAGACCTGTCGGATGGTTTTTGTGGGAAATTGCATAAATACGTCACTCGCACGTGCGTGTCTCGTCATATCCGTAAATAGAGAAAAGTTGCTCCAGCAACTTTGACGCATGTATGGTGTGGGAGTGACATAGGTTAGTTGTCACAACGAACGAGAAAGATTGACATGGAGCATGCTAAATCTCGAACCTTCAAGAATACACATTGGCTTGGCTTTTCAGAGATGGTGAGAACGGAGGGATTTGAAATGTTGTAAAAGCGGCACGGAGATGGTGTTTTTATCACTCAACAGGTGAGTAATGTATTCAGGGGCGGTGCCAGAGAATTTAACGCAGGTGCTGAGGGGGTGCTGCGCAATTATATATATATATATATATATATATATATATATATATATATATATAAATACTATTAATAAATGAGCAAAACTTGGCCACTCAATATTTAATATTCAATTATTTAAATTATCACAATTAAAGTTTTAATTTGATTAAATTGAACAAGCACAACATTCAGCATTCAATGAAATATTCTTAAAGATGTATTATTAATAATGTTATTTCAACATAATATGTATGCCTGCAACAAGCAAGATGTGCATTTGTAAATCCGGTGACACGCGTGCATTGATTTTTATTAATAAACTAGTGTTTTCTGTGTCAGTGTCGGCGGCAAAGATGAAGTTGACGATCGCCATCCCAGTAGTGAACGCGCCTATAGAGAAATGCACACAATGGATTACATAATCAGAGAGTAGCCTATTTCTTTTCGTTTTTAATTGTTTCGTTTAAAGACATTTCAAGCTTTCTATAGATATATTTCTCATGTCTGTGAGGCATACGCTGAGTTTCGGTTCATTTATGATAGGGCTGTTGGAACGAATTCCGAAATTCGAATATAATTCGAATATTTAAAAAAATCAATACTATTCGAATGCTGAAGTTACTATTCGAATATTGGGTTTTTTATGTGTATATAAAAAAAATTTAAAAAAAAATGCAATCTTGCCTTTCTCGTCACCTTGGCTTACACACATGTGAAAATTAAATGCTTTTCTTTCGTCTGATGAACAATAAAGTTTTTGAATCGTAACACAATTGTGCACGTTATCCACGCTGTATCATCATAACAATACTGTCAAAAATGGTAAATGTTTAACAACGTAAAAAAGCGCCCGTGAAGCGCAAATATCTCGGTGAAAACTCAACGGATTTGGCGAGCACCGAACTCGTTGGAACCGTCTAGTCGAACTGAAAAGAACTATATAAGTTTCAGAATTTTTGGTGGTGTTTTAGCGGAGATATTAGCCGAAAACCATCGTTAGCGCTTCAACCATATTCAGCATGAATAAAATGTTTATTGTAATGTTAGATGTCCCTCTAGTGGACAGAACGTGTAACAACAACCACATGCTATAGTGGCATTGGCGATCCATAAGCCTGAGTAACGTCGTAAATATTAATAATAGGATGAATTTGAGCATTTAATATTAGAATATTATTCGAATATTAAATAAAATAAGGAATGGAATTCGAAAAGTATTATAGAGGAAGATTGACAGCCCTAATTTATTATGATATGTGCTCCAGTTCACGTGCAGTGCAAGTGACCGCACCGGCGCCTCCATGTCATTATTATATTGTCTGCTATATTTGCTTCTTATTTATTAAAGGACAAATTCGGTATTTTACACTTAAAGCCCTGTTTTAAGATCGTTTCTGATGAAATAGAACGGTTAAGATTGAAATTTGGACACATGCTGCTGGCCCGAGAATTTTCGGTTTCTGTGGTTGCACCCCCCCACCTCCACAATGGTTGCATAGGTGCACTGGAACAATCCTTTATAAAACGCATTAAACTTTAGTTTACAAAGACGTGAAACTCACCGAGTGGTCTGGGGTGTTCACTGATATGCTTACACAAAAATCGCTGCAAAGATGCTTTCCATCAGGTTTTATCGTAGTTTTTTGTCCAACTCCATTGACTTTGACTTGGGACAAAAACTACGATAAAACAAGTTGGAATATATACCGAACTTGTCCTTTAAATCCAGACAATTGATTGTATCTTAATTTTAAATCAATTTATACAAAACGAAATTCCCTTTAAAGAAAGACTTTCTACAAAACAAAACTTAATGAAGTGGTCAAAATCATGTCTGACCCAGTCCATGTCTACCGATATATTGTGCATACTATCTTACTCATGCTGTTTACTTATCATAATCAACATAAAAAATAACATTATAACAAATATGAAACTAAATGTGCTTATTTAATGGCTACAACACGTATAGTAGGCCTACAGACTCTCTATTTGTACAGATTGCTGCACATTCATTTAATTCTGAATTTTGCACACATAAGTTGAAAGGCATTTGTTTGTGCATAGTAAAACATATCTGCCACATTTATCAAGTTCACGGATAATTGTGCTTGCATTTATTAATCATTATGATACTAAAATAATAATAAAGTAGGCTATACTATGTACAAAAATCAGATGAGCCCAGAATATGAACGCAACGCGTTCAATTAAACGTTAAACATTTTCCTCCCATAGAAAACCATTATAAGAATGCTTATTGTGATGTAATGCAGATTAGAATGTCTCCTTATTATTGTCGAAATAACGAGATATGTTGAAATAACAGATATTATGTTGAAATAACGACTTCATATCTCGAAATAACAAGATAAGTTTCTTTTTTTTTTCTTCACCATGAGGTTCAGGGCTTCCATAGAATACAGCCTGAATATAATTGCTTCCAGAAATTATTTTTGGAGGTGCTACGGGGTGCTTTGGTCTTTCTTGGGGGTGCCGAAGCACCTGCTAGACCCTCCCTAGCGCCGCCCATGAATGTATTAAATTGAACAGATAAATTGTCATATGTAGCTCTCTAACAGAGTTATGGTGAAGGGTCATTTCATTATGGTTGTTGTAGCGCTATGCTGGAATTTATTTTGAAGGCAGTACCATGTCTATTAATGGGTAAAGCTACAGAAACGTCTTCAGCCAGTCAGCTTATGATCCTTTCCATCTAAGCTGGTTATTTTTCTTAAGCCTAGTAGTGAATGTTTCATGTGGAATAGGATAATCTCCCTATCTTTTATTAGTTATGAGAAAGAACCCTATTCATCTGCAGTCACGCAAAGCCGAAACACAACCAAAACAATGTTCTTCTGCAAAATGCATGCATTTTTGTTTTTTATTTGCTAGAGTGCCAAAACTTGCAGTGAACCTTTAAGTCTTGCCAAATTAAACACTCAAATGATTTTAAACCATTCAAGTAGATGACAACGAGAAAGAGAACTCAATTCAGCACTTGTGTGCTGTCAGATAGTTTTCTGTGCAGACAACAGAAGCGTGTGCAGAAAGCCACCTCTCAAACAGCGCAAATACTGAATTGAGTTATTTTTCGTTTTCTTGCACTTGAACAAGCAAATACACAAAATTGTAAAAATGCATGTCTTGTTGAGTGTTACGTTCCACGTGCGTTTTGTTTTCACTGATCTGTTTCACGTGTTGGCCATTATGTTCATTGTGTTTCTCTTTCGTCCCTAGTTCACTATCTCTGCTCGCAGGATTGCTGTGATTGGCTGAGCCGGACGTTAGTCATCATTGAGGCGACGTTCCAGAACCAATCAAAGGCCGTTCAGCTGGTTTTAAGAGAGTGGCGCGTTCATTCACTCTCTCTCTCTCTCTCCTGTGGCACGTTCATTCACTCTCTCCTGTGGCGTGTTGAGCTCTGTGTAGCGAACTGAGTGATGTGCGATGTATTAGTGTGTGTTTATTCTATATCATAGAGGCATTACGATAATCTGGGAGGACGAACGGTAGGTCAGTATGCCGCTGTATACACTGCCCGTAGGTCTGTCTCTGTTATACACACTAGGTTAGTGGTGAGCGCCAACCTTTGTACTTTTGTTATTTAGTTAGGTTAGTCAGCGCCGCGTGCGTGAAGATTGCGGTTTCTTTTTCACATTTTGTTTTGAGTAGGGTTAGGGTTAGCTTAAGGATTGTTTTTGTTATATTATGTTCTTTTCTTTGGCGCCACTTTTTGTTTGTCTTCCCAATCTTTTTTTCATAGCATTGTACATAGCGCATACATTGTCATGTTACTGGAACTAGTGGCTTCGGCTTTTTGTGAATAAAATCCAGTAATTTCTCTCTTTCAAAGTTTGTCTGACATGTTCTTCCAGTCTACTTTCACATCTAGCAGCATATTAATATGTTAATGGTACGACATTCCCTAGGCCTTTTAAAGATCGTAACATTGAGCATTCTTGTAAACACAGTTGGTTATATCTTCAGTGAATGTTAACAGATAAGAAAGAAAACAAATGCATGTCAGTGTCAATTTATAGGATCTGTGCATTAGGTCTTAAAGTGACAGCAGCCTAATAAACCCACTGCTGCCGGTGTCCTTAATGTTAATCAAAAAACGATGAGAAAATCACTCACTGCTCTTGACTAAATAATCTGTACCTGAATACTAACAAGTTGACCTACCTGAAAAACTTAAAGCACTGTTTATTTCATTTGCATCTTTGGTCTATTGTATTTATTTGTGCTATGGTTTGTAATTTGTTTATTTGTTCTCATTTAATTTTTGATTGTTCACTTGTCTTTAATAATGTTTTATCTATATTAGTTAGGCTGGTATCTAAATTTTGGTATCATAACCCTATATTATTAGACCTAAAATTGTTACATGGGTCAAAAACAAAGAAAACAATAACCGTTTTATTTATTTATTTTATTACTTATTTATTTATAAATTATTATTTATTTTGGCAGGAAAGGTAAAAAAATTTGAACCACTGGCCCTTAAATAATCCTTAGCATTGAGACCTGCATAACCTTAGTTAACATAGTTATTTTAGAGCTTCTTCACTATAATGCTATATTAAAGCTGCAGTCCGCAGGTTTTCCTCTTTGTCGCCATCTCTGTTCGAAATCTGCAATTGCAGTCATTCGCGGAATTATCAACTTAACGTGAGTCGTACTTCGACATGGCACAGCGCGGATGAACACAATGTTTGAGGAGAGTGTGCAGCTGTCAATCACCGCGCCGGTGTCGATACTGGCATTCAGAATCACAGATTATTATTTTTGGAAGTATGACCAACATAAGAATTTTCACCGGAAAATGTCATCTGAACAAGTAACATCCACTTTTGTTCTGGTTCTGACATTGCAGTAAATCACGCTGATTAAATCTAACAATCGCTTATTCGAAGTCCGAACAAAGTCTTTTGCATTTTACAGCGGGTGAATCTGTTGTCACTGGTGATTGTCGTTTGAACCTTTCTGGATTCGCCATCAAATTGATAAGTTTAATTATATCAAGTGCAGTGAGAAAAGGCTTTAAATCTCCACCTCCAACATCCTCACACGCAATATAGCCAACTAGCCGAGACTCCTTCTTTATGTGTACAGATGTGACGCAAAGACATGTTTGAATCTCCCGCGGAAATCCACCAGTACCACTGGAATTAAAAACATTATTAAAAGCTTACCGCTTTGAATCAAGCTAAGGCAAGCAGATAGCGTTGAACACTGGCTGGTTATGTATTTTCTCAAATATGTATTTTGGATCATTTTTAACCCAAAAAAAGCTACGGACTGCAGCTTTAATGGTTGGTCTATATAAACGTACTCCAAAAACAACTATCTATTCACATTAGGAGTGGCAGCAATATGTTTATCAGAGGGCATGTGGTACTTGAGATATATGGATATGTATGCGTCACTAGGAGGGTACTTACCGTGCAGCAGTGGTTAATAAACCGAGCCAAGTTGCCACACTTGGTGGCGTCAATGATAGTGTCATGGTCGACACGGAATAAGTAGCTGCTCCCGATGCCTTCCTGGGCATATCGCTTCTCTCGATTATCAGCCACCATCTACAATTGAAGCAACAAACACATCATCTATTAACACCAATTCATCAACAAGCACGTATTCCCCAAGAAGAACCAAACTCACTTCCTAGTATAAATAATTTTCATAGCTGTTAGTTATACTTCAGCTAGAAGGCTCACCTGTCTGATATTCTGTCCCACATATTCAATGACCATCTCATCTGCAGCAATGGGTTCCATGGCAAACAAGCCCCATTCATGGATTCGACTGCGGCCAAACCTCAGCTTCTTCTTACGGAACTGCAAGCAGAATTCAATCATAAATTTGATGTAAAGATGTATAGGATAGACTATATTTACAGGCACAATAATTTTCTAGAATTTAGCCATATACAGATTGAGTTAACTCGATTAAGACAATATTTTGGCTATTAAATTCTAATTAAGACAGATGCCGGTATTAATCACATGCAGACCTTTTAAGGCCCCGATATACTTCGAAATGGAAAAATGAACTGATGTGATGTAATTTTGAACAAAATCAGGCCAAAACGAAGATTGTAAGAAGTTCATTTTGGGAGTTTGAAACTGCATGCCAAAGCGAACTTTCCAGAAAAGTTCGCTACGGCTGGTAAACACCTTTGTATTACCATTGGTCCGTGGCGATTATGTTACAGGTCAGACATCCGCGAGTGAAAACATGAACACACTGGAGAGACGATTTATAGCAGAAAATGTTGTACTTTCGATTAAACGAGACACTGACACTGTTTTTCATGTTTATTATGGTAAAGCTGCTTGATTTTAAGCAATCTATTGTATAAAGTGCTATATATATCAGTGTTTCCCCTACCAAGTATTCAGAGCGGCGCAGCGCCATGGCATATGACCGGATTTTCAGCGCCATGGCAAAATCTTCGCATGATGAGTAATATCACGACATTCACTTACACACCTAAAAACACTGAGACATGGCGACCGGCGGCACTGCTAATGCGGTGACTCTAAATCCACTTGTTGACAAGAAAGGGGGAAAGAGCCACATTAGGCTAATGTCACGTTGCCATAAGGGGCGGAGGGGTCGTTCACATAGCGTGTTTTTTGCCCGTGCAAATCGTTATTTCAAATGTAGTCGCGGCAAACGCGCTCATTCATGGTTGCATAGCAACGACAGATGCCACGAGAGAGCAGCGCTTGTGGAAAGGAGAAAGCGGTGCGAACTGTGCTCTCCATGAGGACGAGGAAGTATCAGCAAATAATTAATTGATTTCTAGCCCTTGCATTAGCTTTACTACTAGATATATTTATGGAGATGAGAAATAAAAAGTCGGCCTGAACAGCTATAAACAGCTGTTCGGCCGAGCTTTCGATGCAGTTACGGAAAGGCCGAAGCTGATCGGTTGGTTTTTGTCACATGACCTGTTGAGATGTTTTCATCTATTTTAAGGGGTTATTTAAAAAAAAAAAATCTTCTGGAGGTGAATTCTCAGCTCTCAGATTCTGTCAATTTAATTAGGAAATGCAAACAATAAACACCGTTTTGGCGCTTGTAAATGTGACGTGACAGATCTCAGTTCAAGCGGCACGTGAGCCGATCATCTGTTACTCTTTACTACTAGTTAATAGTAAATAAACACGAATGATCAATAGGTAATTTGAAAGATACAGTTCAAGTTCAACCGAAATGTAATAAAATCGATTGATAAGTGTTTTTCAACCACGGAAAGAGGTCCATAAAACAGCTGGAGAACAATATGTCACGTAACGTTACATTTACCTCAGGAAAGCCATTTAATGACCCATAGCACGTAAAAAATTGCTATAGAGAGGAGTATTTTGCTAAATATGATAACTATATTACATATTTATTATATTTTTACCTATATCATTAAAATATTGTAACGTTGTTATTAAAAAAAAACGCATTATATTTATCATTTGAGATGTTATTTTTAACCTTTAATAATAATACCAGCTGACAGGGCTCTGTATGTTTACAGCATTAGGGGAGATATTTTTTTGGAGAACAATTAACATAACACATTAACGTATCTACTGTACCTAATATTTATCCAAAGGAATCGATATTGAATCAAGATCAGAATCAAATCACAAGAATTGAATTGAAATTGTGAAATTTGTGTCAATCAATAATAAAAACAGTGGCATACCAGTCATTGTACCAAGTAAACATTGTGTTGTCACTAAAATTAATAAAATTCTGTTTAGTTACCAAATGTTTTGACAATCACAATACACTTATTGTGATGCAAGTTTTTTTTTTTTTTTTTTTTATCCCCCCAATCCCAATCCACCCATTTTATGTTGTTATGTTACATATTCACTGTTTACAAAGGCAGGGCCTGCCATCTTGTCTTTTTGGCTTGTTTCTGATAGCACTCTAACCCCAAGGGGGAAATCCAGAACAAATCCCAGAAGGAAAATCAAAACAAAATAAAGTTAAAACTTGTTTTGAACAATTTCTCTGTCATCTGCAGATTGATTTTAAGTAGGGGGGGGGGGAAGAGAGAATCGATTCTCGATTCCCCCTCCTAGAAAAAAATCTGGGATTTTTTTTTTAGGCCATATTGCCCAGCCCTATAAACGTGACGAATTGAAGAGCTTGTGCAAACATATCCACGTTGCTATGATAAGATGCATTTTTTTATGCTTTATTAAAAAATGCTTGCGGTGTCGTAATTTATTCATTTAAATGTCTTTACTGTAATTTTTGACCCATTAAATAAGTATTAATTTCTTTGAAAAAAAAAAAATCATCTTACTGACTGATTGTACAGGAATGACATGAGGGTGATTAAATGATGACAGACTGAACAATTACCACGTCAATTTCTGGGCAGGCGCATTCCTATCTGTCCAAACATCAATCTACACACGTTTTTCCAAAACAGACGGACAGAAATAGACATTTTCTCCAAGTAACCACTTGATAAATGGACTGATGCCTTTTACAACAGAAAGCACATAAATCCAGCTCGCTGATTATAATCTGGCTTCCCAGTGAAAATAACAACATTTAAGACCCATAGGGGATCCTTTGTGAGAAGTACCTCCATATCTGCTGTACAATAAACCAACAGTGTCCGCCCTTTCAAAAACATACAGAGTCCATTCATTAACTCTTTCCTCAAAGAACATGCAATACAGGAGGGTCCTAAGATAAGAAATCCTTTTAAAGGAACACCTTTTAACTTTGAACACATAAACTCGATGTCAAAGAGCTTACAGAGCATTACAACAGCCAAAACATCTGATAAGGAGCCCGTCAGGGTCAATGGCACAGGAGTCAGCAGACTTTATAATGCTTTTTGGATGAATGGTATGAATTATTCTACAAAGGGTACACACTGACCTACCCGGTGAACCTACCAGGCTAGATGCCATCCATTATACGGGCATTACACTTACTGTAAGTCAAACATTAAACAGAATGCTATTAATTATGCACCGAAAAGCTAAAGGGAGTTTCTGGAATAGAAGGAGAGGTGAGGTCATTGTAATCAAAGTGTTGATAGTATGATCAAGGTCATGGTCGTGTCAACGAACTAAAGAACTTTACCTTCAGCTGGTTCAGTTTCAGCAGGTCTGAGTCCATCACTGCTTGAGTGCCGATAGCACTGAGGAGACGCCGCTGCTCGGAGCGCCTTTCAGACAGCAGACGATTCGAGCCCTGTGACGGACAGAGAGAGTGAGTGAAAGCTCCTCAGATGGATACAAACTACTGACCCAAACTGTCTGCCATACTCATGCTGAACAAAGAAATTAGTCATTTAGTCAAATGTATTTGCATTAGCACAACAACAATTTATACGTTTAAATCTAAAATATCTTCACACAACAAAACCCCCTAAAAAAAACACAAATAAGGCTTTAATTACAAGTTTAACACATTTGAGTTGTTAAAACAAAGTGAACCTACTGCAGTATCATAGTCCCCAACTTCCTGCACAGTCACTGGCTGGTCTAGCTCAAGGTAGACGTCTTTTTCCTTGCGGCTGATGGCATAGTAGCCTTCACTGCGAGCACAGCCAGTGACATGCTCTCTTAGCTGCCCATCTGGGGTCTTCTTCTTCCGACGGGGGTTCGGGATGTTGGTGAGTGCAGGCAAGAGGTTAAGGGGCAAAACTTGAGCAAAATCAACTGAGAAGGCAGTATCAGAGTTCCCCTTCCCCTTACTCTCTTTACTAGGAATTTACACTTCTAGCAAACTCAAATTTGGTATAGTGGTACTGCTAATACTGTTTGCTGCTCTATGACCAATAAAAGCAGGTGTAAGGATATTGGTATGAGGGACCCAGTGTGTGTCATTGAGCCAGTCGGTGCCATGGTCATCTTGCAGCAGTTTTTCATAGGTGCTCTTCAGGAGTCTCAAATCTTCCTGGTCCAGGCCAGTGTTCCAGATGTCATACAGGATGGTCATCTGCTCAAACTCGCTGCGGTTCTTGTAAGAGGGACGGAGTATAGGATCTGCCGCGGGCACGTGTTTGGGCCGCCGCTGAGTAGAAGGGGTCAAGCCGGCTTCCTGAAGAAAAAGTCGTTCGCTCTTTCTAACCTCTTCCTTTTCAAACTCCAGTGATCTCTCTAAACCAAATTCAGAGTCTCCAGAGTCAGAGCTGGAGCTGGAAAGCTCACCAGACTCCAACTGCTCCACATCCACATCTTCTTCGAAATCCTGACAAAAGAGTATGAAATGTTAGGAAACAGACAAAATCCACACCAAAGGGGGACATTCGGACACTATTTGGCAAACTTATCAGTATTACCCAATAATGCAACAATGCAGAACAGTGGAAAGCAGTTCAAATTCTGTGGGTTTATAGGACAAACTGTTATATCGCAACAGCCTGAAACATGGTGAAATTATCGTAACAGTTACATCCTAACAAAGCTAAGTGCCTTTTAACTAGGATGTAGAACATTGAGAAAATATGTATACAAAATACGCAAGATGTTGCAAAGTTCCTCACACAAGGACTAATGTTGAAACTAGTAGGCAGCTTTTCAAGCTTCAAGCTATTTAAATTAAAATGAGTTGTTACCCCTTATGAAATAGTTATATTACAAGCAACAAACAAAACATGCATAAATATACATGCACATCAAACTATAATTGTTGTTTCGCAATCAGAGCAGCATTTTTCTGGCTCAAAAACAATGGGAGCATCTATTTGAGTGAAAGCGTTAAAAAGCAGGGGCCGGTTACACTAGCTATACTGGTCATAGTATTAGTTGGTGCAACAGGTGTAAATATTTATCAGAAGGCTGGATGTAGCTAAACCCAGCAAAGAGCTTGTGATTACGAGTCGGCAAGTCGTAATTACGAGCTCGTCTCATTCGAGTGCTTTGTCATCAGAAAGAACAGGAATCATGGAGGTCTTGCCTATTTTTTGGGGAAATCTTATTAAAGTCAAAATTATATATATATGATCCCATTCATTGACAACCATATAAACATTCACCGACAACCATATAAACATTCACCGCACAGCAAGAATTACCAACATTTTATCCAGGCCTATTGAAAACTGTTTGATTGTATCAGTTGTTAATGCAATACAATGTGACTAAAACAACATGAATGTAAAAAATAATTATGCTACATATAATAGGGATGTGCAAAACTAGTCGACTATATACTGCTGCTGCAAGTCGACTTAGAGATACTAGTCATTTACACGTCAAGCTTTTCTTGCGATTTTGACGCCCGTCATGTGTACATACTTTTCATACCGGAGAAGCGTTAGAGGGTTAGTTCACCTAAAAATGAAAATTATGTCATTAATGACTCACCCTCATGTCATTCCAAGCCCGTAAGACCTCCGTTCATCTTCGGAACACAGTTTAAGATATTTTAGATTTAGTCAGAGAGATTTCTGTCCCTCCATTGAAAATGTATGCACGGTATACTGTCCTTGTCCAGAAAGGTTATACAAACATCATCAAAGTAGTCCATGTGACATCAGTGGGTTAGTTAGAACGTTTTGAAGCATCGAAAATACATTTTGGTCCAAAAATAACTAAAATTACGACTTTATTCAGCATTGTATTGTCTTCCGGTTCTGTTGTCGAGCCGCGTTCAGTGACGCTGCTGACGTAAGACGCTGCTGACGTGTAATCTGGTGCGCCCGAGCTTCGTTCACAGTCTGAGGGAGACGCACGCTGTAAACAAAACAATCTTCGCAAACATGTCTAAGGATTTCGACACAGAGGAAGACTTGCATTTTTTTGCGCAGCCATATTTATTTGAGCCCGAATACACGGACCCACCAAAGACACGTCAGACACGTTCTTACGTCATCAGCATCACTGAACGCGGCTCAACAACAGAACCGGAAGACAATCCAATGCTGAATAAAGTCGTAGTTTTTGTTATTTCTGGACCAAAATGTATTTTCGATGCTTCAAAACATTCTAACTAACCCACTGATGTCACATGGACTACTTTGATGATGTCTTTATTTCCTTTCTGGACAAGGACAGTATACCGTACATACATTTTCAATGGAGGGACAGAAATCTCTCGGACTAAATCTAAAATATCTTAAACTGTGTTCCGAAGATGAACGGAGGTCTTACGGGCTTGGGACGACATGAGGGTGAGTCATTAATGACATCATTTTCATTTTTGGGTGAACTAACCCTTTAAAACCTGGTTGCCGTGGTAACGAATAACAATACCTTGACGTGCTGACTTATGTGGACTAACATTTATTTGAGGAAATCTATTTATAATATGCTATTAGGTTTGAACTTATTGGTCCTGCCTATTGATATAAACATGTCTGTAACTGCCAACGTTGCTTGAGTGTTTAAGTTTAATATACAATGATCATAATGCAAGACAAGCACATCACATGAATCTGACCTATTTTTAGTGGCATTCGGTATGGGATCTGACTGTTCATAGATAAATAAGTCTATTTCAAATAGATAGCATATACAAATGGCTCTGGGGGCGGGGTTAGACTAGTCGACTAGTTGCAAAATCCCATTTAAACGTTAATGAAATTAACGAGGGTTGCACACATCCCTAATATATAGAGAGGTTGTATATATATAGTAGTTTGTAGCTGGAAAAGTTTTAATGTGTCTAGCACAATCCTCACACAACAATTACAGTAACTGACGTTTAAATGTTAATTCTCACTCAAGTTCTGTAATGAGAACCAGACAGAATCACAAACCTCTAACTTCCGCTTCCTCTGTTTCTTAATCTGTTTCTCCTTCTGTTTCTTAGAGATCTGGAGTTCCTCATTTTCTTTGTCCTTCCTACTTCTCTTCTTGCTCTTCCCTTTCCCCCTCTCTTCCATCTCCATCTCTTTGCTAATTGATCCTTTCCTCTTGTATGGTGGGCCGAGACTTTTGCTCTGTTTCTCAGCAGCGTCCCTGGCTTCGCACAGCAGGCCCAATCCGGAAAGATCCTCGTACAGCTCCGGAGCTTCTCCCCTGGCGGCAAGAGCTTCCCCAATGACCTCTTCGGGTGCTTCCTGAACACCGTGCTGGTTGAGGTCTGCAGAAAGCAGGACGGTGGGGTCCTGTTTCGTCCTCTTTTGTGGAGATGTGAGGTGTGGAGGCGCATGAATTTTAGAATAGTTGTGCTCCTGCAGGACGAACAGACCCTCTGGATCCAGGAGTGGTTGACGGGGGTGTGGGGCAAAGAAGTCGCCCTCTTCCTCCTCCAGCTTGTGCTCCTCTGCCTCATCTGAGGTCTCAGTCTCTTCTGAGTCGATATCTGCCTCCGGGTCCATCTTCAGCGCCACATCGGCCAGCACAGACAGGTCAGGCTTAGGGGCAGAGGCCAGCTGCAGCAGGCTGGACACTCCCAGCTGCTCCCTGAGTTTCAGCCGCTGCTCCAGCTCCTCTTCATCCTCTTCCTCCACAGCGGGATGCAGATGAGGGCCAGAAACTGATTGGCCGAGTGTCCGAGGGCGGCCACGTATGCGACCCTTTTGTGTGGTTTGAACAGGGACGGGGTCCTCATAGGCCATTTTGACCAAGGAGGCATGGTCCAGCGGGAGGTTCTGGACCGTGAGACAGACGGGCACAGGGGGAGTTCTAGGGGAGTCTTTACCACGTTTAGAGGAGTTTTTGGCAGTGGGAGTTTGTGGAGATGGTGGGGTACCTGGACTCCTTTTGGGCTCATCAGGCCGCAGGGAACGCACTGGTGGAGGGACAGTAAGAACAGCGGAAGGAGAAGCAGGGGAAGTCAGGGCGTTACTTTCGCTGGGACGAGAAGCAAATGGAAGGAGCATTGGGGTGGGTTTGGAGGCGACGGGTGGAGCAGCTGCTGTGGGTGTGCTTCCGGGAGAAGTGGAAGTAGGAATGTCTGAAGCTTGTGAGACAGGAGTGGGAGATGGAGAGGGAGCAGAAGATGACAGAATGGGGGGCTTGACCTCACTTTCTTCCATTGAGAAAGAAACTGTCTTGCGCCGTTTCTTGAGTGGGGGGAGGATAGGGGAAGAAGGCCGGGGATATGGAGATGATGAAGGCACAGCTGTAGGCGTTTTCTCTTCTTCTGGTAGTTAAAGAAAGAAATAATAAAGTGAACACAAAACTTATAATATTTTTGAAAATAAAAATCAGGAGTTTCAAACTATTATATATTTGCTCATTAAAGGGATAGTGCACCAACTTTTTTTTATTCTATCATACTTTACTCACTCTCATGTCGTTTCAAACCTGTATTGACTTGAATACAATAAGAATGTTGTTAACTGTTTCCAACATATTTCAAAGTATATTTTGTGTTCAGCAGAAGAAAGTCATACAGATATGGAATGACATGAGGATGAATAAATGCTGACAATGTATTCTATCCCTTTAATTCCCTAAAAAACAAAGTGATCTTTAACTGACCAAGTTTGACCTCCGCAGCAGTAACTGATGATTGGTCAATGCTGGCTTTGTCCCTGTAAAAAAGAGACATGAGTCATGTCAACTTATCAGTCCAACGACACAACACTCTTCATTGCATCGGTTCTCACAGAGGGACATACCTTTCACCCTTTTCTTTGTCCATAGCTATGCTGTCCATTGTAGACTCATCCATTGAATCCAATGACTCGCTCTCTGCAGCCTGCTCACCTTCCTCTTCATCTTCCTCATCAGAGGAGGAAGACGATGCCGAGGAGGAGGATGATGAGCTCTCAGAAGAAGAGGAAGAAACACTCTCATCATCACTGTCTGCACTAAAGGCTTCATCTGAGAAACATGAGCAATAGAGAAAATAGTTGGAAATCAAAAAACATTGATCTACAAGATATGATCAGATATACATATAAAAGGCTAAAATTGTCGTGATAATGTGCAAATAGCAACAAGAGCCCAAATGAATGAGCACAGTATGAAGGAAAAACAAGGCGGCTTCATACCTTCTGACTCATCCACTTTATCACTGTCTTCATCCTCCTCCTAAACACAAAACATGAGGAGTCACCAGTCACAATAATGACAATAACATGTCTGAACTCATCTGATTGAAATTCCTCCACAGCACTTGAAGAAAAGAAGAAATGCTGCCATCTAGCCATTATTTAATGAAAAAACAAACAAGTAGAACATAATATATTCTGCAAAAAGGGAGAAATTCTTTCATATTTAAAACCAAGAGTTTACAATGGCAATGCTCTAAGTAAAAAGCTACATAACTATTGACCTAGATAGCCGTTTTTCCCTTCATGGGCATCCCACAATTTATAGTGACACACTATATGGGAGAAAAAAGATAATTCACATCAAATATTGAAGACATGATACCCTCTTTCATAAATGTATACAGTAAATAAATATTGATCTGTCAGTCATGAACAGTTGGGTATTCAAATATCTACATACTTGAATACCTATATGGAAATAATTCCAGAGATTAATCTAATTGTCATGCATGTTATGCATTTCTGCATACAAATTATTAGAACAAATATATAATCAAAATATTACCATTATGATATTCAATTTGTATTTTTTTTAAACATAAAATATGAATTTCTCAATTTATAAGGTTGTTCAGATACGTTGGTTCATGATCAATTTAGAACAGATTTGTTATGGTTAATTAAAACTATTAAAAATAGTTTAAATCTGAAAATAAAATATAAATATTAGACGAAAAACTTTAAAAATGGAAATGTTGCCTTGGAAACTAACTAAAAATTAAGTTTAGTAAACTAAAACTGAAGCCAAATAGAAATATATAAAACTAACAAAAAATAGAAAACGCACATAACAACACCACTAAAACTAAAATTAAAATGAAACCTGAAAATAAAAGTTAATTCAAAAATAATAATAAATACTACAATAATATTTAAATTATATTAAAATAACACTGATTTATAATGATTCACCAGGAGATCAGAAGTCAGTAAATTGGCTATGAGCACATCAGCTCTGTGAGAGCTCAAGTGAGGAGGAGCCTTTTAACTTGCCAACTCTTAACCAACAACAACTCTTGTGTGCTTGGCTACGGCATGCATTTTAAAAACATAATGAGCCTCTGCAATTCTCTGGTGCAGGCCATGGGAGTGGCATTCTTTGCATAATGCTCAAGTCGTAATGAAGTAATGGAACGCTCTAAACCAGCCTGTGTCCACTACTACAGACAAAAAGGACAGATTTAATGACATACAAACCAACCTTCTCAGAGGAACCATCTGATGTTTCTTCTCCCTCGCTGTCTAGGTCGTATGGCTTACGCGCCTTGGCTCTGCTCCTCCTTCTGGCTGCTCCTCTGTCTGCCACACGCCTCTCCTCTGTTCTTCCTGTAGCAGTGTCTGCAGATTTCCCCTGATAGGAGTCTGAAAGAGAGAGAGAAAAATGAAGTAGATATATATATATATATATATATATATATATATATATATATATATATATATATATGAAGAGAGAGAGAGAGAGAGAGAGAGAGGTTATAAAAGTACAATTACGTAAATGTCAAAAAGAGAATTTCTGTGAGTTAATGCAAGTTCTAAAACAGCATGAGGACCATACCTTCATCTTCCTCATCGGCTGGAGTGGAAGGTCTGGCCTTCAGCTCATCACCCTCGACAAGCTCCTGAGGCTCCTTCCTCTTAACCTGAAGAACAGATTCCTTGTTAATAACATCATTTTATATTTTCAAATTATGGTAATGAAGTGTGCCTGCCTTGTTAAAACCATTCCATTTTAAGTATCCTTTAGTATCTGCTTAAGTCAGGAAGGATGTATTGATTGTTGTTTCCTGGTCCAAGTGGTCTGACCAACTTCTCAATCTCAACAGCCATTTATGAGTATTATTCATTTATAGCACACCTTTAAGCTAAGTTTTTAAAAACTCAGGGTGTACACTACAGTCTCTGGGCTCACAGCGTCCCGGACAACAATATTTTAACAATTCAGAAAAGATTAATCACTGACTAGCCAACAGAGATTTTGCTATGGATATAAAGACTAAGATTATGATTTTTCGATCGGTATGTGTAACGATACCCTCATGTCACGATTCGATACATATCTTGATACTGAACTCACAATATAATATTATTGCGATACTTCAAGATATAAAAAAGTTAACAAAAAAATGAATTGTTGATTAAAATGCTAAATTTGATTTTACGTTGTGGGTGTAAATGAATAGGCTTAGACTTGGTGCCGGTAACCCAATGCACAGGACAATCGTGACACCAGAATAAAAATATTCATGATTCTGAAGCTGAAAATACAGAATTATTTTTAAGGACCCACAAATATCCCCCCATTGCATTATTATACATTTTATTCAACATTATATATAGTAGTTTAATGTAGTACTGACAATAAAACTCTGTAAACTTAATTTTTTTTTCCTCACACAGAAATTTTCATTTTGGGTGAATTATACACAATATATATTGTCACGATCTATGATACATTTTGATGCATTTTTGTATTGCGATATATTGAGTGACACGATATATTGTTACACCCCTAATATACACTAGTATTATTTGTCGTTTGCTTTTGTGATTGATAAAGCGTTTGGACCGTGGTGATGTCAGACTTAACTGAGCTGAATCGGAATCAGGCAATAAATGTGACATTCAAATATTTATATAATGAATTATAGTCAAATGATCATACGACACATTATTTTTTGTCAGCCTACCAATAAAATAATGTTCTCTGTTGTTTGCAAATATGGACCCGATTTGAGCTTCGGTTGATTTGATTCAACATTTGTTCTTTTGCAGCTAGACTGTATGCAACCATGTGTGTTGTATTTGAATCAAAACTATGACGGTGAGGAGAGAATTATTAATATATGTCTGCACTATTTCTGTCAAATGGATGATTATGAATAATTCTGTACAAAATAATAATTTTTATAATTATTTACATAAATTAGCCATAGAAAACCTACAATGTTTTTCTTTCACATGTATTGGAGGTCATTTGTTTTGTGTGGATATATTCATTCATTTTAACATGGTGATTACATAAAGGGTAAGGACTGCTTCAAGACAAATGTGAAAGTTCCATTTGACGGCCACTAGGGAGTGAAATTCAATGAATATCAGATGTATGTGAATATAAGACAGTGGAGAGGCAATTTAACTTTTAGATGTTAAAGAGGCGGTAAAGTCAGGCACCTTAAAAGAAGGCAAGCGCAAGGCTCCCCGCAGGGAGAAACCCTCCATGCCTCCACTCTTGGCCCAGTCTACCAGAGACATAAGTGGCTCTCGAGGTCGGTTGCTGGTCTTCTCATCCTTCTTGTCTTCCTCGCGCACCACCGCAACTCCCCGCATGGCTGTCTGGAATGGCTTTGCAAACGAGAGCAAGGGGTGGCATGGTTGAAGAACAGTGTAGGTCATTCAAAACAAATATGAAGAAAACTCTCTGATGTTACCTTAGCTTTTCTTTCCTTGCGGTCCCACCACTCATCAAAGGTGCCAAAGGCGACGTTCTCCACCATCTTGCGGTTCAGGTCCCTCTGCATGATGTTCTTCATCTCCTCAATCAAAGCTGCCAGTACCTGCTGCACTACGGCCTCGCAGGGGTTATGGCCCATTATGGCCATCTGGTCACCTGCCGCTGCGTACAGCTCTCCATCCACACCAGGCACTGTGCCGAAGCCAGGTGGAGGATAGTGGGAAGGAAACTGCTGGGGTGGTAGGTGAGGAGGCCAGGGGCTGTGGGGAGGGGGGATGGCATGATGATGCGGAAGCTGGGCGGCATGAGGGTCCGGGTAGGCGTACGGTAAGTGAGGAGGGATGTAGCGGTGGTCCTGGTCGTAGTGGGAGGCAACATTCCCATCTTGGTCCATGTATGGGTGGTGCGGATGTACATGTGGAGGGGGAATTGAATGGAGGTGATATGACGGGGGATATTCAGAGGCAGGCGGGACTTCTCCAGGTGGTGCCGTAGGGCTGTTGGAGGAGGCCATTCGCATCTGGTGGAGACGACTGAGCATGTGCGTCTGCATCTGGAATGACATGGGCACTCCGCCACAATACTGGCTCATGAGCTCCATGGAGCTGGCATAGTCGTACATATGGTGCGGCAGCGGAGGAGGGTACTCCGGGTGCAGCTCCATGTGAGGAAGCGGAGGAGGTATGCCAGGTGGCGGAGGTGGCTGCAGGGAGAAGCCGGGCAGAGGTGGGGGAGGGAGGTGTGGAGGGTAAGACGGGATGGGCGGAGGTGGCATGGTGGCGCTGAAGTGCTGGCTGGTGTCAGGAGCGGGGCTTGCAGAGGGGTCTGGAGTTTGTGAGGGGAGGGCAGATTGCGAGGAGGTGGCTGGTGAAGAGGACGAAGAGGCAGCGGGATGGGGTGTCGCTGTGGTGATGGCATTGTCATCTTCATCGGATATTTCCATATCCTCCCCAGAGGAGTGAGGAGATGGCTGAGGAGAAGAGATTGTGAAGATTACAGTTTAAACACTGTGTGGGAGGAGGACATTTTCAAGCTTGATTCAAATGTATTGGTGCACCGAAACTGAGAAATAATACTCAGACACCGCACAAAGGAACATGCCAGAGACAACCAGAGCACAAAAAAAAAAAAAGCAAAAGCATGTCAGTTTAATTTCTGTTAGCTTACTGGTTCATGTACATCATGTCAGAATTACTATATTTATAAAAATAAAATGTCAGCAGCTTCAACAGATAAAACGATAGTTCAACAAAATTGAAAATTCTTTATTTACTCACGTTCATGTTATTCTAAACCCATTAGACTTTTGTTCATCTTTGGAAGACAAATGAAGATATTTTTAAATATCTAGGATACTCAAACGGCTGAGCTTCCTTTTAGCATATTTGTTGCATATTTGTCAAAAGCTGTATGAGAAATCTAAAAAAAATAAGTAAAAACTCAAACAGTATTTTGGCCTCTGGAGATGAAACAACTAATACACTATTTAGCCCAGTGTTCGGCTAGTAAACCACTCTTCTGCTGTGGTTTAGCCTGTCAACTTATTGTTGGGCAACTCCAACCAGTTGAGATCCACATCACAATATAATCAATGCTACCTGTTTCTTAGTTTAATGTACTGACTCAATATTTTCCTACTATCAAAAAAAAAGAAGCTCATAGATCCATTATCCATCCAAATGTAACTGGGGGCACTCACCTGTGTCTCTCCATTGTATGTGGGTGGGGTATGTGGAGCCCTGTGTGTATCAGAGGTTGTGTGCTCCTCCTGAGGTGGCGGCATTTGGCCCTGAAGAGACTCGGACACTAAACCGTGCATGGTAGGAGTGGAGGAGGCCACCTCTGGAGGAGTTTTCCTGCCTTCACTTACTCCACCACCTTGCCTTTTGCTCCTGCTGCGACGTCCATCTTTCTCTCCTCGCCTCCTCTGTTGGCCTACCTCCGTCTCTCCTTGTCTCTTGTGACTAGGCCGTTCTCCATTCTCCTCTCTGAGTTTGTTCCCCCCTCCGTCTGTGTTCTCATCTGTTTTTCCTCTCTCTTTGTCCTCCTTCTCATCGTCCTCATCATCTGAGGCAAGAAAGGAAAACTTGGCCTTTTGTTCCTTCAGCAACATCTCAATACGTGAGTCCAAGCTGCTGCTGTGGTGCATGAACGGCAGGCTCTCATTAGTGGAGTCTGGTTCCGGGGAGGAGTCACGTTGTGGAGGCGGCGGAGAGAGGGATGCTGTGGAAGAGGGGAGGTGGTGAGGCAGAGACGTTGAAGACGGGGAGGTGGAGGATGACGGTACGGAGGCGTGGGGAGGCGAGGAGGTCGGAGGCGGATGGGGTGGCGTGCTGGGATGCCGTTTAGGTTTGGTCCACTGTTCTTCTCGGATGGGACTGTCCTGGCCGAAATCAAGAGAGCCAAGGGTTTCGGCCACAGCAGCCGCGATCACGGAGGCCGGCGGGAGGGGAGGAGGTGGAGGCGGCGGCGCCAGGGGTGTGTGGTGAGAATGAGCACGGTAGTCATTGTCTATACTACCTCCCATTCCAAAACCCCTCTCGCCAGCACCTTGCTGAGGATGGAAGGCCGGCGAGGGTTCCAGCCGGGAGGAGGAGGGTGTGTCGTAGGGGGAAAGGTCTTTAGATGACGAGTATCCTCCATAAGAGGAGGTGGCAGAGGGAGGGGAGAGGCTGTTGGATGAGTTGTGGCTGGAGTTTGAGTGGCCTCCGTAACGCGGATCAGAGCTGTTATAGTCTCCTTCTCGGTCTCGCTCCCATTCACGGTCTCTGCTACTCCTCCGCCGACTCGACCCACCTCCACTGCTGCTGTGGTGGTTGTGGGAGTGATGGTGGTTCCGATGCCTTCCGTGATCTCCTGAGCGGGAGCCTGAACTGTCCCGCCGGTACCCCCTGCCGTCTCTGTCCTCTCGCCGGTCGGGATGATGTGAGTGGTGCGAATGGTAGGATTTAGAGGTGGACGAAGAGTTAGTATCCTGTTGATAGTGGTAAGAGGAACGACGGGAGCTTATCCCGCCTCCATAGCGCCCTCCTGAGTCTCTCTCTCGATCCCTGTCCCTGTGACCCCTTTCTCTGTCTCTCTCTCTGTCAGACAGAGGAGATGGCTCAAACTGAGGCCCTGGAGGTGGCATGGGTGGATGTAGCGGCATGTGCATCCCTGAACCTCCAACATTGGGATATGGATAGGGAGGTTCATTAGGTCTGAAAGGTGCAGATGAAGGATATCCCGGCCGACCCCTGTGGAACACGGAGGGTTCTTGTGGAGGTGGAGCATGTAGGTCATCATGAAAGCGAGGGGGCTTGAATCCTGATGATGAAGAGACCGCTGAAGAGGAGCAGGAGGAAGATGGAAGCATATCCTGCTGGGGATAACTCTGAGTGCTGGTATATCCACCATGCCTGAAAGAAAAAAAGAGGGGATGTTTTTTTCAATTTGTTAAAGCTTAACCAAGGAAATATACATTTTAAATGTAAATTAGGAACCAACCTGCCCACAGAGTAGCCCGAGTCCTGGGAGAAAGGGGTCCCAGAGCGAGGGGTATAAGGGGTACCCCCACCCTGTGAAGAAGCAGAGGAACCCGGTGTATAGGGCCCCCCCATTGAGGATGGAGGGGTATCTAGGCGCTGGTCTCCAAATCCAGTTTCCACAGAACAGGGGGTGGTGCTGCCAGAGTTGAGAGGCGCAGCAGCAGCAGCAGCAGGAGCAGGAGCAGGAGCTGCCGTCTGGTCTGTGGAGAGCCTCCGTCGGATATCAGACGACTAATAAAAGAAGACAAGAAATAACAGCATTTAGAGAGGATAAAAAATAAAAATGAGTGATGCATATTATCGGTTATTGTTAAATGTATTGGTTGATATTGTCCATATGTGATTTGTACATTTATGATATTCGCTGTCATTTAACACACTCAAAAGTCAAAATTGTATAACTCTTTAAAAACACTAATAAATTAATCTCAAAATGATATTTCAGACTGCAATTGTTTGTAGTGTTTTACTTTTCACTTACGTTACTGAGCAAATGTAAGGGTCAGTAGGAAATGTATACTTTTATTCAGCACGGATGCATTCATCAAAAGTGACAAAAGACATTTATAATATTACAAAAGATTTTTATTTCAAATAAATGCTGTTCTTTTGAACTTTCTATACAAAGAATCCTGAAAAAAATTAATCACAGGTTCCACAAAAATATTAAGTAGCACATCCGTTTTCAAATACACCAAAGAATCAATCTCTCCTATCTTCTGCAGAAACGGTTTTCCTCTCCACTGTATTTGGAAACTCTCAAGAATGCACAGTAAGAGGCTTGATAGCTCTTTGTCTTTCACACATTTTGTGGTCCACCCATGAACATGATAATAACACAGGTATGGGTATTTGAGTGACTAATGTGTAGAATAAACTACTAAGCCAACTCAATCCAAAGAAGGCCACTGCGCTTCAAGGACGGCAAGAAATGTTGGCTGGTTACCGCACACAGTAGCATCACTTATGGGAAAGCAAAGCATTCTTTCCAGTGTAGCTGAGCTAAGATTTGTTTGTGTACTCACCGTATCTGGCTGTGTTGGGGCTGGGGGCTGAAATTTGTCTGTGAGAGCTTTGCCTCCAGTCGGCACTGTCTGAGGGGTGTATGAGCCACTCACTATCAAGTCATAGTACTTCATCCTCTGTTGGCCTAGAAAAACATGCACACAATTGAAATTCAACTACAGACTGGTGCCATTATTTCATCATGCAATGTTTGACTTTCCCACTGTTTCATATTTTCATGAAATGACGAGAATGGCAGGATATAAACAAGCATTATTCTACATACATTTCTATGCAAATAGGAATGCACACATTACAATTTTATGTAAATACTTGTACAATAAATACAACTAAAATCAAACATTTTAAATGCTACAAATAAATTCTTCTCTGAGATCAGAAGACAAACAAAATAAGTAACATAATATAAATAACAGCTTTAGAAAGGAGCACGAGTTTGTCCAAGTTGTCGGGGATGAGTGAGCCCCGTGACTTGCTCACAATGTAGCCGGCCTTTGAGAAAATGCACTCCGATGGAGAGGATGTGGAATTTAAGTTAGACATTTCATGCAGTAAACGGAGTAATAATTTAGCTTCCACACTCCGCATGAACACTTGGATATGGCCTAATATTAGCGCACATTTAATTAGGTTATCGTTAACATTAGAGCAAGCAGCCATGTAAAGTGGCTAACATTAGGCTACTACATACATATTTTAAATGATAAGTTTGAGGTCACATGTCACCTTTTTGTGGTCATTCTTTACCGTCGAAATGTTCCCACACTTTGGATTTTCTTCCCGACATATTACCGCATGGACCAGCCGTGTTAACGATCTGTCACTGCATGACTTCGCCAAATCCTTGGAGTTTTTTCTTCAACTACCTGACTAATTAAAATTGAGTCTACCAAGCCTTTTCTCATTGAATAATGTTTAGTTGACTATTAGGGAGCAGCCTTAATTTTAAGTGAGCATTCGATGACGGAAAAGGTCATCTAAATGTAAAAAGGGGTGAAATAAGTATGCAGAATTAAATATCCAAAATTGATCGATACCAGTAAGTAAAAAAATATTTTTTTATATCACCTGATAACCAATATATTTTTAATCAATACTGGCAAGAGACAACACATTGTTTTACTATCAGTGTTTTTCAAATTTACTCAACATCTAAATAGACACTTCTAATTCAGCTCAAACTTGTATATTTTATACCATATTAATGCTCGTCAATTAATATGCAAATTGACTATTTTCTTCTAAGATAATAATTTTTAAAGACTCGATTCAAACAAACTGAAACCTGGTGAGCACAATGTAATAAGCCAGTCATTTCTTCTACATCTTAGTACGCAAAAGATATATACAACCATCCAAAAGCTAAAACAGAAATATTGTAAAATATAATTAATTTAAAATAATAATTTTCTGTTCTAATATAATTAAAAAATATAATTTATTCCTGTGATGGAAAAGCTGAATTTTCAGCATCATTACTCTTCAGTGTCACATGATCCTTCAGCAATCATTGAAACATGCTGATTTGATGCTCAAGAAACTATTATTATTATTATTAATGTTGAAAACAGTCATGCTGCTTAAAATTTTCGTGGAAACCGGGATTCATATTTCAAGTTCAAAAGAACAGCATTTATTTAAAAAATCTTTTGTAACATTATAAATGGCTTAACTGTCACTTCTAAACAATTTATTGTATTCTTGCTAAATAAAAGTATTAATTTCATTCAAAAATTAAATCTTACTAACCACAAACTGTTGAACGGTAGCATATATAGAAAGTAGGCTACTTACAGAATATTAATGATCAAAGACAATAATTTAAAGAGAGAGACGCACCTTTGATATCCAGCTGGACATGGACAATGTTCCCCATGACAGAAGTATTGTGCAGGTGTTTGACAGTGTCTTTGGCCCCTCTAGTACTGGTGAAGAGGACGCGGGCCAAGCCCAAGTGCTTCCGGGTCTTGGGATGAAACAGAATCTCCATTTCCTCAACCTCACCAAACTTGGCGCACATCTCCGCCAGGAACGGCTCCTTGATGTTATCATTCAACCTTGCAAATGTCACTTCCTTAAGTGGTATAGGGCCTACGTAATACTCATCCAACTATGACAAAAAAAAAGAGAAATTAAGTAATGTGTTAGCATGCAGAATACAAAAAAATAACAAAGAGCTCACCAGAAAAGCAGCATGATGCATTGAAATGATAAAAGAAAAGCATACCTTAAATTTGGGCACTGGCAGCGACAGCTCTGTGTGTCTAGACCAGATTCTGCGGGGTCTTGGATCACGCAAGTCCCCCACAGGTGGGAATCCTGAATCCTACAAATAGGCAGAACACAATCTTTACATAATCAAATATCCATACACAAAATGTAAAAGTATAAAAGTATTTATATATATATACATTTTAATTTAATGAACAAGCCAGTTCAAAGGAGAATTATAGGCTGACTCCTTGCTCTGTTTTTTTTTTCCAGCTAGAAGTATATATGCATGTCCATACCGGTACACTAAAGTGAATCCCATCATATCTGTAGATTTTCTGAGCAACCCGTCGGAGAGCGGGGTCTTGTACAAGCTTATAGCTCTTCCATTGCAGACTGAGAGTTCGCTGAGTGTCCGCCCCGCTGTCCGGATCCATGCTATCACTGCAGAGACAGAGAGGAGACTGAGATGTTGTGCAGATGCTCACATCACTCAATGACTCATGTTGAAGTCGCAGTGAGAAAAGCTTTTAACTTATGGCTCATTTACTTCACCAGGCAACCAATCTGACCGTGTCCACATGCAGAACAGCCACTAACACTTTAATCTTGATGACTTGACAGTGTAATCAATAGAACAATAATATCAAACAATGTAAAAAAGCAACATATAATACAGTTACACATGAAAAGTTTTCACTTTCTTTAAAAAACAAACACAAAGAGGTCTCTATTTAGGGAGCTATAATTCGTCACCTCTTTATTATGATATTCTCTAATATTTTGTTTTCAACCTGACAAGCTGATCTGACATCCCTTAAGTTATATATCCGAGTTAAAATGTCACATTTATCATATATTAAAGTGTAGACAATAAAAATATGACTTACTGCTGCCTATTACAGAGTAATAAGCAAGAAGCACTGCGGTTATAATGTAAAATGCATTATCTGACATATCGACTAGCAACAACAACAAGCTAACATAATAAACACTGAAGCTGCTAGCTGCTCACAGCGCGAGCTAGCTAAAGCTCAACTTAAAAATGATGTGTCAGGGCAAATGCCAATTACTTCTAGTAAACGAATAGACACAAATTTCCGATACCAAAATGAATTATTCCTACACGGTGTCCCAAAACACTCACAGAACGGAGCGCGCGTCTTGAGGAGGTTTGCCCGCTCCGACAGCCGCTAGCTCGCTACAGCTAGGCCTGTATCGGACGGGGGAAAACAGACAATCCTTGGTTAAAATCTAGCTCCGTTTTGATGTGTGCGCCCTAAATCTGACGTAAAACGGTGTCGCTAGTATTCCGGTGCAATATCGATGCGGCAAAATTATTTAAATTCCGCCAGAAAATGAAATGTACTAAAAAGAATAACATAATACAGTAAGCGGCCATCGCGTAACTAACCTGAGAGCCTCGCCTGCTCGCCATCAGTCACTAGAAATATTTAGCCGTTGCATTGGCACTCGTACTTTCCACATAATTCACGACTATGTGGCTATGTTATATATTATTTATTCAATAATTTTAAATATATTGTGACTATATGTTTTCATTAAAAGTAAAACTGTACTATACATTAACATGAAGCATAAAATTCTGCTTTTACCTTTCTTCGATCACCTCAAAATAATTCTGACCGTTGTAACAAGCATAACTTCTTTGTGGCGAATCTGCATTTTCGTTTTATCGAAGTACGAACTTGATACAGCTGCGTGTCTCTGTGTGGGTTCTTCTTTACTGTAAGAACAATCGCACAAAAGTTCATAACAATGTTTACTTTGATAAATAGTTCAACCAACATATTTAGAAGTTGGGTGCAGATGATAAATGATGAGCAATCCGCAGAAATAAGAGACAAACGACCGGCAAAATAATATACATTAATTAAATAATGAAGTAAATAATTACAACGTAGCTTATATTCCTAATATCTCTTAAATAGCACAAACAAGGCAAAGAAATCAATCTTTTTGAGCTACATAAAGTTATCAGTATCATGTTTGTTTGTTTTTTGCACTATACGAGAGGTTGATGAGATTCATTGACACATTTTCCAACATGCATATTGTACTGACTAGGAAATACTTCACGTTTCAAACGAAACTTATAGTCATTAGTATTCATTTATTTTTATAGATTTTATTTTATTTTATTCTGTTCACAATTTCAGAACCAACTACACTTTAGTGAACAGCAGGTGGAGCTACAACAATCTTAAAGGTTATTTACTGAACAGTTTTTATAACGTTATTATTTAAAAAAGGGGTTATTTTTTCACTATTATTAGTGGGACATAAGGTAGTAAATATAATGGTAGACAAGGTTTTTTTTTTATTTCACCTGTTCTTTTGTTGACTCCTGATACATTAAGTTATTCCTGGGTTGGAGGTTGAATGTCTGAAAGTTCAAACTTCACCAAGAGCTTTTGTGTTTTTAGTTTTTTGTTATTATTAATAATTTCTATTCCAGGGGCGCATTACAGAAAGATCCTAACATTAGAATCCTATCTGATATGTTTGGTAACTATGGTGATGTTAGTCAAAACCTTATTTAGGACAAAAGCTATTCCAAAATGACATGTATTAGTTTTTTTTTTATTCGCTTATTACTATTTTCACAAGTAAGATGTACATTCTCAAAACTCTTAGTACTAATATCACAACAGATCATCAAAAGTGCACTTTTTTCCCCAAACATTTCAGCATATTTTCAATTCTGTTAGTACAATACACAAATTGTGTTTCACTTCACAAAATAAGTGTTTCATCTATATAAATATTTAATTCACAGTAACTGCCTTTCATAAAACTCTTATTATCAAACCTTTGATTTGCTTCTCTTCTCATTCAGTTTAATACATGTGTCTATTATTTAATCCAACTGATCTCAATGGTACAAATGGTAAATTGGTACACCTAGATTTGATTCTATACTTCTATAGAACTTTTTTGCCATTTCCGATACGGATAACCAAATGAAATTAATTATTTTTACACAAGTGATTTAGATGATGACCACCATATGTTCAAAGTTTGTGCACAAACGTGTGTGAGAGAGAGAGAGAGAGAGAGAGAGAGAGAGAGAGAGAGAGAGAGAGAGAGAGAGAGAGAGAGAGAGAGAGAGAGAGAGAGAGAGAGAGAGAGAGAGAGAGAGAGAGAGAGAGAGAGAGAGAGAGAGAGAGCGAGAGAGCGAGGGGGGGAAACAGTCAAAGACTGTGTGTAACAACAGATTGATGCATCAATAGAAGGGAGACAGATGGTTAGGTAATGTAAGTGTATTTTCTAATGTAGCCCATATTACTCTAAAAAATGCTGGGTTGTTTTAACCCAAATTTGGGTCAAATATGGACAAACCCAGATGTTGGGTTAAAAATTTAATTAAAAAATGTACAGTTAAAAGTGAAAGTTGAAGTTGGGTTAAAATTTGAAATTACATTTTTAACCCAACATTTGGGGTTGTCCATATTTGACCCAAATTTGGGTTAAAACAACCCAGCATTGTTTAGAGTGTAAGTATTTCAGCAACAATGGTGATTGAAACATGTATCTTGCATTGTTTGTCGTTGAATGAACTGATTGTTAAAGGTACTAAATTGAAAGAAGATCATACTGTTGTGTTTCAGTGATTAAACCAAATGTTCTCATCACAATGATCTTGTGTTTGAAACTAAAGATTTCATAACTAGTGAAAGCACGAGGTCAGGTTTTGAAAGAAAGACTGGCTGTTACAAGTGTGATCAGTTTGGATTTTTGTTCCAAGAGTTTTGAAAATGTACACCTTACTTGTGAAAATAGAACCAAAGGGAATAAAAAAAACTGTATGCATAATCTTATCTTAACTACGGATAAAGGGGTATTACAGAAGCATCCGAACTCCACAAAAAACTTTAGGACAGCCCCACTGGTGACTGGTGTCCTAATTTCAAAATTATTTGAAAGGCAACTGTAAAAATCTCATGACAATAGCCCTGTCTGAGAATGACATCACATTTATTAATGATACAATATGAAGATTAACGATGTTTGATGCAACGACTTTTTAAAAATACCTTTTAAACACCCAAATTATGTGCTGCAATTTGGAAGAAAAAAAACACTGATAAATAATTTCAGACTCCCACGAAATATGATACCAAAACTTCTCTTTCTGCAGCACTCAATTAAAAGCACACCTATTTTGTTTTTCCATTTTAATCTCTAGCGTTTACTTCACATACCAGCTGCTTGCGCGTCCGTTGGTTGCTTGGTAACAGACCTGAGGGTTGATAAAATGAGATTTTGTGAGATAGGATGAGAATCAAGTTAAGATTTGCTTCTGTAATACGAATATGTGAAAAATCCTTTTTTTTTTAAAGCCATTGTTATTTTAACACATTAAGTTAAACTAAATGAAAATGTTACTTTGGCAACAAGCTGAAATGTATAGCCTACAGATCAAAAGTTGGGAAACATTACTATTTTTTATGTTTTTAAAAGAAGTCTCTTATGCTCATGAAGGCTACATTTATTTGATTAAAAATACAGAAAAAAATGTAAAATTGTGAAATATTATTTCAATTTAAAATAATGCTTTTCTATCATAATATATTTTAAAATGTAATTTACTCCTGTGATGTAAAAGCAGTATTTTCAGCATCATTACTCCAGTCTTCAGTGCCACATGATCCTTCAGAAATCATTTTAATATGATAATTTTCTTCTCAGTTAGCTATTATCAATGTTGGAAACAGTTGTGTTGCTTAATATTTTTTTTAAACCTGTGATTCTTTTTTTCAGGATTAATTAATGAATGAAACGTCAAAAAGAACAGCATTTATTCAAAACAGAAATCTTATCTAACAATAGAAATCTTCACTATCACTTCCTAGCATGGTGACATTGATACAATGTTGAGTTTTGATCCAAACCATCATTTTGGTTGAGATTGACATTTCAATGTTTAAAGTGTGTTGGATCAGCATTGAAATTTTGATGAAAGCCAACAGCACACATGGGCGGAGACAGTGACATTGAACTAACAGTGATTTGTAGTTGATGAGCACAAGATGTATCTCTGCAGAACACTAGTGGGTGTTTCTCAATTAGTGCCGTTTTCAAACCACAATGGCATTTTCAACCGCTTTACCCGATTTGCTCTAACCCACTGGGGGCTTGGTTTAGGGGTGGGCCTTCATGATTTTAGCAAGTCTGTTGAAAAATGGTTGAAAAACATTTATTGTAGTTTGAAATTGAAATTGGTAAACGCCCATTTTGGTTTTGCATGTGCACTTCTCAGTAGTCTAATGCTTCCTCATTAGCCCTTTCATGCATGAATTATGATAACCTCAGTCAGGATTTTTTTCCTATGTGTTTTTATTGCTCTTAGGGCATGAAAAACAAGATTTGATTTTTAATTTTTTTTTTTACAAATTTTCCAAAGAGATTTTCAGGTGTCCACTTGAGTGGACAGCATGCATTTATGGTTTAAACTGAAGAGATACTGTATTAAACATAATACAATAATCAAACAGATAAAGTATGTGTATTTAACAAACTAATCAATACAATTATATCAAATCATGTGAAAACTATAAAATATATACAAAAAATATAAATTCGAAATATTGCAAATGCAATTGAACTTCATACAAGTTGCACTTCGTGTATCTTTGATATCAGAACATGAGGACGTGATTCCATCAGAAATTTCTACAGCCTGTCAAGGTACTACTGTGGAAACCACTCAGATGCTCCCTCCAGTGTACCATTAGCTGATAATTCTGATTATGTTCAAGATAGACACATTTCTAGCATAGCCCTCCTCTGAGAAAACCTAGCGATACGTTTTTTTCAATCTCATCTGAAATGAGCAGTGTTGGGGCAGGCATAACGCATTCAGATTACTTTTTTGATGTTACAAGTAAAGTAATGTGTCACAAGTAACATGCATTACATAATCCGATTTGTTTTAATGTTACGAGTAAAGTAATGTATTACAAGTAACATGTATTACCTAATCAGACTACTTTTTGATCTAACAAGTAAAGTAATTAATTACAAGTAACATGTATTACCTAATCAGACTACTTTTTGATCTAACAAGTAAAGTAATTAATTACAAGTAACATGCATTACGTAATCAGATTACTTTTTGGTGTTACGAGTAAAGAAAAGCATTACAATAGTACATTACGAAATCAGATTACTTTTTGATCTAACAAGTAAAGTAATGCATTACAAGTAACATGCATTACGTAATCAGATTACTTTTTGATGTTACGAGTAAATAAATGCATTACAAGCAACATTCATTGCGTAAACAGATAACTTTTTGATCTAACAAGTAATGCATTACATAATTTTTTGATGAAATGAGTAAAGTAATACATAAGTCACATAAATTATGTAATCACATAACTTTTTTCGATGTCAATGAAATTAACATTCTAATAATACAAATACATTTATTTACAGTAAAAAA